TCGCTTGCTACTTTGGCCAAAACCCTGCCCAACAAGTCGGACTTTGCAGAAATGTTTTCCCGCCTGGAACAATCTTTGAAGTCAGAAATCTCCCCCATAAAGGCCGAGATGTTGCATGCTCTGCAGCGGGTGGAAGAGGTAGAAAACCGTTTGGACACCCATGCTTTGGCCATCAAAGAATTGCAAACGCACAGTAAGAATGCTGAACATGCCATGCGCTCTGCCCTATACAAGATTGAGGATGAAGAAAACAGGAACTGCCAAACAATCTGCGGATCCAAGGCCTGCCTGAAGCCATCCTTGATGTTGACCTCGCGTATACAATGCGTGGGATCTTTAATGGCCTTTTGGGACGGCCCCCTACATCGGCCCCGCTCTTTAAACACGCCCACCATGCTCTGCATCCCCGCTCTGGCCCGGAGAGTCACCCAGAGATGTAATTGTGCATATTCACTATTACTCTGATAAGGCCTTAATTATGGATCGCATTAAGGGCACCGCTGAAGTGGACTTTGATGGGGCCAAACTGTGCATCTTCCCAGATTTAGCATTCAAGACTTTGTTCAGAAGATGTGCCCTGAAACCACTTCTACAGCTGCTGCGAGACAATGACATCCCCTACTGCTGGGGATTTCCTGCTTGTCTGATTGGCTCTCGTAATGGCCGTTCAGCAGTTCTTCGTTTCCCGGAAGACTTACTGAGATTCTGTGAAAAGCTGTAAATAACACCTCCCGATTTACCTGGATGGTCAGATTCGGCCCCAAGCTGGGTCCATTTACTTTCCTCTCAGTAGCAACCTTCCTCTTCTTCTCGCTCCATGATCCTATGGATGAAGACCTGTGCTGATTTTAGTTCCCTTTCAGTTTTCTTGGTTTTTCTTTTTTTTCCTTCCTTTCAGATCCATTTTTTTATGAAGCCTACAGCCCCTTCTTCCCTTGCCGAGGGTATTCCCTATTCTAAGTCTTGCCGGCACTGCTCTGAATATTTCAATCTCCCATCCCTCTGTGCAACTGAACATGAGCTGCAACTATATACCCTCTATGCTTCTTTTTATTGAGTATACCAGTGTAGCTCAATTCTGATGGTTAACTGTTTGGGTTCTACATTACTTCCTTGTTCTGTTGCTATATAAAGTGGTACTTTCTCTTGTATGTTCATATGATTGCTCAGGGGTTCAGGATAGACTGCCCTTTCATTGTTGGTGTGGCTGTTACAGTCTCATTGCTTGGGCCCTGCCCTGTACCCCCCACTAGGCGGCCTCCCCCATGGTTCATGCTGGACCATGGTACATGGCCTCTGTGCTGTATTTGGCACACAATTTACTGATTTGTTATATTATGTTTTTTGAATGTATGTCGTCTCTCCCTTTGATTACCTATCTATATTTACGATGGCATCCCTTCGTTTAGTGACGAATATTGTTAGGGGCCTAAATGCTGATGCTAAGCGACACCAAATATTAACCAAATTATTCCAAATGAACGCTGAACTGGTCTTCTTGCAAGAAACATAAAAAAGCATAATTCTCATGAATCTAAAGTGCAACTGAATTCTAAACATCTCCCACACTGGTAATATTGCTCTTCACCCACGAAATGGGGGAGAGGAGTCACAATTGGATTCGGGAGAGATGACTCTTTTTCAGTTACTGATTCTCTGGCGGATCCAGATGGTAGATTTTTGTTCTTGCGCATTGTGTTGTATGGGGTTACCCTATACTCTGGCTAATGTCTACTGTCCGAATTCCTCTCCAGCTCCTTACTTTAGGAAAATATTGGGTAAGCTACGGGATTTTCGTTCTGGCCATTTAATTGTATCTGGGGACTTTAATTTTAGCCTAGACCCACAGCTAAACACGCCCACTGGACAGGCTCGTAGCCCCGAGTCTCACTTGAACACTTTACGTAGAACGCTCCATAAACTCCAGTTGGTAGATGTGTGGTGGGTGTTTCACCCGAAGGAACGCAATTATTCCCATTACTCCTCAGTCCATGGTTCCTACTCTAGGTTGGACTTGTTCTTTCTGGATCATTTCCTCCTAGAAGCAGTAAAATCAACTGATATTCTCCCTATGACCATCTCGGATCATGCACCAGTCTCCCTGATACTTACCATTCCCAATGCCCCTTCTCGTCAATATAATTGTAGATTGAATGAGTCGTTGCTTCATGACCCCAGCATTGTGAGTGATTTAACATCACGCATCCACACGTACTTTTAGGACAATGATGTAGGCTCTGTTTCATCAGCTACCCTTTGGGAAGCTCATAAGTCCGTTATGAGGGTTGTCTTAGTTGCTATAGGCTCTAAATGTACAAAAAAACGCTATCACAAGTTCACTCGTTTCTGACTGAGATACATTCTCTGGAATTGTCTCACAAATCTACACTTGACAAGATTGTGCATCAGACACTTCTGCTTAGAAGAGAAGAGGACAACTTAGGGAGCTGTTGGAATCGGACACTAGACGTGCCTTTGCAATGATTGATAAAAAATGTTTACAAACTGGGTAATAAGCCAAACTCTTAGCGAGAGCATTATGGTCCAAACGTCCGGCCACATATGTCTCTACAATTAACAATAAGCTGGATTCCATGGTTAACCTCACCAACGACATAGCCAAGGTGTTTTAGGAATATTATCAGGATCTATACAAGGTTCGTCCCTCCCCTTCCTACACACCACCATCAGATCTAACAGATAGAATAAATTCTTATCTACACAAAGCGGGTATGCCCTTCTTGTAAGAAGATTTGTTGCAGTCCTTAGAATCTCCCATTACAGCGGAAGAATTTAGGCTAGCTGTTAAATCAACTCCCCTAGGCAAAAGCCCTGGGCCTAATGGCTTCCAGCTTCTGTACTTTAAACGTTTTGAAGACATCTTAGCCCCCTTTTTCTGCCGCTATATTAATTCAATCAGAGTTGACTCGCCCATGCCCCCCAGAATCATTGTAAGCCCATATCACGATTCTTGCAAAACCTGGCAAAGATCCATCTAGCTGTTCTAGTTACCAACCTATCTCATAGCTAAACGTAGATACTAAACTCTATGCTATAATCCTGGCCTCTAGACTTAGCCCGCTCTTGCCACACCGGATACATCCAGATCAAGTCGGATTTGTCCCAGGGAGAGAGGCAAGAGAATGCCCTCAAGTCTGTTTCCTTGATCCATCTGGTTCGTACTCAGAAATCCCCAGTTCTGCTTTTGTCTAGGGATGCCGAAAAGGCGTTTGATAGGGTAGACTGGGGATTCATGTTCTCTACAATGCAAGCCTTAGGGATTGGTCCTCGATTGCTAGCATGGATCTCGGCCTTGTATACCTTCCAGACAGCTAGAATTAGGGTGAATGGTACTCTGTCCCCTCCGTTTCAAATGCATAATGGTTCTCGCCATGGGTGCCCTTTGTCACCATTATTGTTCGTCATCTCTCTGGAACCTTTTTTGGCTACAATTCGGCAGAATGCTAACAAACAAGGTATCCTTTCCTCCAACACTGAATACAAAATTGTGACATACGCCGATTATATCTTGTTTTGTGTGAGTAATTACATTACAGTACTATTCGAACTCCGCATATATGGAGACCTGTCCAATTTCAAGATCAATCTGAGTAAGTCATAGATTCTGAACATTTCGGTGACAAAGACGGATTGCCTTAGTCTGACTCCCCACTTTCCCTTTTTATGGCAACAAAAATGCTTGCGCTCCCTAGGCATTTATTTAACCCCAAAGGTCTCGGACCTATACTTCATTAATTATATCCTATCTTTATTGAACACAGTAAAAATCAGGCCTTAACTCATATTCCCTGCGCACTTTATCCTGGCTCGGTAGAATTAACGCTATCAAAATGATGATCCTCCCTAAAATGTTATTTTCAAATGCTTCCTATGATGTATTCTACTATGTTGCGAGCCTTGATCTCCAAATTTGTTTGGCGTCATAAAAACCCCAGAATATCCCACTCCATTCTAAGAAGGCATACGACTAAAAGGTGGCCTTGGTTTACCAGTTTTCAAATCCTATCACATAGCTGCTCAATTGGTTAGACTGGTGGACTGGACTTATGCCTCGCAAAAGGATTGCGTAGACCTTCAAAATAATCTATGTGATTCTTCACTGGGTGGTTGTATTTGGATTCCACCTTCTAAACTAATCCTATCACCCTTGAGTTCCCCACTCACTACGTCCGCTCTGCTAACCTGGGACCATTTGCACAATCTCTATTGCTGGCTGTACAACTCGCTTTTATTACCTTTGTCAGATTCAGACTACTTCCCACCAGTGAAATATGACCCTTTATTTTTGTCCTGAACGGACTCCAACTGTCTACGCTTAGGGGGATGTTCTTCAAGGAACCACTCTTCTGCCTTTGCAATCCTTACAGAATCGTTGCGTTTCCTCTCTTAGAAACCATTACATGTACTAGATAGCATAGTGGGTTCAAGTGATTGTTTGTTTGTAGCAGCCTGTATGTATGTTTTGTTTATGTTTGTTTTTCCTGTAACTAAGTTTGTATATGCAGCATTTTTGCCAAGTACTTTAAATGCTACTGGGTCAGTTTCCTTGAGCTTTACTGCAAGGACAGACAACAAAATAGAAATTAAAGTTTTGCCAAGCTTTACATTTGGGCTCGTCCTTGGGATAAGCTTTACATCTTTGGGATTTGTAGTCCAGAGCATAACAAGCTCAAATTGCTGAAAGCTTTAATGCTGCTTCCGATAGAAATGTGTCTGAACACACAGTGCATCACAGTTTGTTGCATATGGGGCTGCATAGCCGCAGACTGGTCAGGGTGCCCATGCTGACCTGTGTCCACTGCCAAAAGCGCCGACAGTGGTAAGTGAGCATCAGAACTGGACCACAAAGCAATTTAAGAAAAAATTTACTTATGTGACATGATTTATGTGACACTGAATTATGTGACATAAATGATTATAGGAAATGGGAAGTAGCTAGGATATTATAATGAAACATCAATATATAACCGTTCACTCACCTCTGATTGTGGCTTGATACAGTCACTTTTCCATGGGTGGGCTCCAAAGACTGATTCCCAATTTGATTACTAGGATGGGTGTTCTGATCAGCAGGTGAAATTGTAATGCTCTCTTTATTGGCTGCAGGAAGAAAATGCTTGTGAAATTTAGCTTTACTATTAATTGGTGGAGGAAATGGAGGAATTGATGGGGGAGTAGAGAAAGCAGATCTTGAAGATACATGAGAAGAGACAGCATTTTCTAAAAGGAAGAAAATGGAGACAGGAAATTAATAGAATGTAGAAGTAATTTAAGAAGTAAATTACCAAAATAAAAGACATTTTGTGACAGGACAATAGTAAGTAAATTGTAAGGATGATGCAGTTCACTGCTCGAAATGCATCCATCACTCCCTGCAGTGCCGGAAAGCTTGGTGTTATGTGAAGGAGATGGCTTGCTGCAAGGTAAGATTTTTATACTTTGCAGTGGCCCTCCACACAATAGACACAGCTTTTGAATGATAATATACACACCCAGTGCAGTGTGTGCAAATTATATTTTTTTCCTGGAGTGTGGCTTTAAAGCTGAAGTTTAGTAATGTTTTTATTATGCAGCCCCCAGGGACATAACTTTCCACCAATGAGGTGTGTCCCATATCCTGGGGGATGTCTGGTAGAAATCCTCCCATGAGTGCTGCCAGATACCCCGATAGCACTGATCTTTCAGTGTTGCGGGGGTTCACAGCAGCCGCTGCCAGTTTGAAAAAGTCTGCAAAAGTTGCACTCCCATCTGCTCCTTCTTCCTTTCTCCTCCATTGCAAAGTGAGCTGTGATTGGAGGACAGGTGGATCAATGATAGGATCAGCCTCCTCCAATAAGAGGTCACTTTGCATTGTGGGAAATAATAGTACAAATTCGATCAATGGAGGAGAGAGACGGAAGAGGCAGGTAAGCAAAGCATCTTTGGCACTCATTCACAGCTGCAGCAGCTGCTGTTAACCCCCTCATCACCAGGTGCTGTAGGGGGTATCCAGCGGCACTTGTGGGAGGATTTCTACAGTAGCCACCGGGACATACCCCACAGGTGGTAAGTTATGTCCCTAGGGATACATAACAAGAAAATGTAACTAAACTTCAGCTTTAGGAAGTAAATTACCAATATGCAGAAATTACAATACTAATAAGACAGGGAAATAGCAAATTAAATGTTAATCTGGGAGACCTACTTGTGGAAATAAAAGCTTCATCTTCTTCCTCAGCAAGAGTGTTCAGCTCCCTTGTAGGCTCTATAGCAGGTGAACAAAAAAGAAAATTAAAAAGGTACACTGTACTATACATACAGAGACAAATACGGTAGGATATAACCAAGTGAAAAAATGAGAGAAACAAGGATTACCTGACAAGTAGTCAGAATATACACTTAAGATAACGTGAAGAAGAGAGCATGGAGAGACAAGTGTGTAAGAAAAGGCAAGGAGAAAGCAAGCAAAAGAAACAATAACAAGAAATGAAAAAAATACTGTGGTTAGTTAGATAAATTCTGACTGCCGTAGATTGCTGCACACTTCACATTTACTTGTGAAAGCTGCTTTTTAATTCAGAATAAAGTATGATTTTTGTAAAGTCGGATTTATCAGTAGCCAAAGTACACAGCATCATTCAAAGCGTATCTTAACCCAAAACCAAAAATGTAATATTTTGCAGCTTACCAACCCTTAAATGTGGTGGCTGCATTAGTTTTCTGGTAATACACTTCTTGTCTTAGGGTGGCTCCACTCTGTGGAGAAACGCCACAGCCACCCTTGGACAGCAGAAATGTTACCCTGCGTGCAGGACAGCATGTTAGTGTTATTTGCACTAGAAGATTTAGATGGACTTAACGTTTGATGGATTTAGCATTATCTGATCTCCAGCTAAAACTTTTTAAGCAGTTACAGCAATTTTTTTTCTTTTTCTTTAGGGAAAAAAGCTGAACACTGTAATCACCCCTGTTAGCGCTAAATGGTTTGTCTCAAACCTCTATCTGCCACTTTTGCTGGACAGTTTGGCCTGTTAAAGGAAGTTGAAAAATAACAGACTTACTGGCCAGATCACCAGGTAAAAATTCAGGGAAAGAAGCCTAAAAAGAAAACTAATGCAGCCACCACATTTAAGAATTAGTAATGTGCTGCCACAGCCAGTGTAATTTTTATTGTTTCTGCTGTTTTAGTTACACTGCCTACGTATTACATTGCATTTCATTGTGCTATGCTGTATTTCTAGCTACTAATGGTAGATTAGCATTGTTACAGTCCTGCTCTTTTCTGTAGAATGGTACAGTCTTCTGCTAAAATCTCCCAGTCATTTCTCTCTTCTCTCTTTCTGCATCATCCCTCGCTGAGGTAAGAGAGTCTCTATTTAACCTGTTAATGGCAAAGATAGGAATGTCTTTTCACTCTTAAGGTGCCCATACACTGCACGATTCTCGTACGAGAATCGCGGAAAATCCCGCGATCGTACGAGCATCGTGCAGTGTATGGAAGGCGTGCGACCGTTTCTACTGTACGGTCGCACGTCTTCCGTCGAACCAGCAGGCTTGAAAACCCTTTTCTCGGCGAGTTAGTGGCCTGCTGGCTCGACAACTGCCGAACGGGCCGGTGTGCGCACACAGCCCGCTTGCAGTCATCGTAAGCCCGCCCCTCATTGCAGTCATCGTAAGCCCGCCCCTCAGGGGGGCGGGCTTGCGATGATCGCAAGTACGATCTGCCTGTCCAAGATGGGCAGATGGTACGTTTTTTTAAGTACTTTACAACCCTCGCAAGACAAAAGTCTTGCGAGGGTAGTAAAGTGTATGGCCACCTTAAGAATGACAAGGAATCACTTCCTCTGTATTAAGAAAGGCAAATAAAGTACATTGGATTCTACTCTTGAGTCTTCTTATCAAGTTGAACACTATCTGTGAATATCACCAAGTCAGTAGGTTGTCATACTATCCGTACAGATTAGTCCCAGATACAAATACTTAAAGCGGTAGTTGTAACGGAATAGTGAAAAGAGAGAATTCAAAGCCTATAACAATCTGCAATCAGCAAGTTTTCTCCTGTGCTTGAGAGAGCACATGTCTCAGAAATCACTTGTAGCAGAAACACCTGAGGATCATATTACAGTCTGCTTTATTCTCTCTGACTGAGAAGCTAGCCTGACTAAAGCCTGGAAAGCTGTGTATATAAAATATCTGTGTGCTGAACTGTATTGTACTATTCACAAGCTGGTTTTCTGTATAACTGCACTGCTGAATACACAATGTCACAGTCTGTACATTCATTACAGTTAGACACAGAGCCATCTTCTCTTTCCCCAAGATAATGCTGATTCTCAGCAGGAAGCGATATCTGCTAGACCCAAACGTACAATTAAACCTTCTTTTAAGCTTTTAGAGCATTACGAAGCAAACAAAGCAGAAATGTCTGATAATCTGTCCGATTTGTGGAATAAGACTGTAGAATATATATATGCCGCTGATGACACATGTGACATAGAGCAATTGAATTAGCTTGTAAAGCTAAATAAAGTTTATGAAAACTATCAGAAATATTCTGAAAAGTATTCCACTCTGCTATCAAGCATTTACACAGAAGAGTCTGTGCAAGAACTAGAATATCTCACTGGTCTTTACAAAGAAATGCACATTAACCTTTCTAGAAGCCAGGGCGAGGATAGATGACAAAATATCGCAATTGCACAAAACTGTATCTCTCCTCAATACATCCTCCAGACATACTAAAAGATCTTCAAGATCATCATATTCAAGGCATTCTACACTTAGCGAATGTCTGACAGGGCTTGTGCTGAGGCAGAGGCAGCAAAAGTAGAGGCTTCTTGCGTGAAAAAGGAAGCAGCTATTAAAAAGGTACAAGTTGCCGACGCTCAAGCTGAGGCATAAGCAATGCAAGCTAAAGCACAAGCTGAAGCACAGGCAATGTAAGTTAAGCACAATTAACCCCTTCGTGACTGACGACGTACAGTGTACGTCGCCAGCATATGCAGGCCATGGCTGAAGCAGAGCTAGAAGTCCTTCAGAAAGAAAGGGAGAAAGTGGCAGCTATGGCTAAGCTAAGGGTTTATGAACAAGCTGTTGCTGAGAGTGAACTAGATTATGTCAGCTTTGCAAATACTTAAAGTGACATTAAACCCTCACATTTTTTAACATAAACCAATACTGTAATGTGTGCCTTACTGTAATCCATGGTAGTTTCCCTTCTCTTTGCTGCTCTTCCTTTTAAATCTGTATCTCTTCTCATGCTTGGGGAGAACTTCCCTTTGCTGCTGTGTGCCTCTTCCTGTAGTGCTGGCTCAGGTTGTGAACCTATACACAGACACCATGTATCCATTTCAGAGACAAGGCAGTCTGCTGCAAAACAGAAGTTCTGCCAAGCATGACAAGAGATACAGATTTAAAAGGAAGGGCAGCAAAGAGAAGGGAAACAACCATGGATTACAGTAAGGCACACATTACAGTATTGTTTTATGTTAAAAAATCTGAGGGTTTAATGTCACTTTAAGGATTATGTCTTAAGCAAGAGCAGCAGATTCTCAGTTAATTCTGATGGTCCTGACCACACGGACATTCCTTCAGAGCGTCAGCCTCTTAAACTACTGTGATTACAAACGTATGTGATGAATCTGTTACCTTCTCTACCTATCAAGCAGAATCCTTTCGCTATTCCAGACCATCTGAGCCGAATGCTACACAGAGACAAACTGCCAACTCTATATAGTGGGAATAGCTGAAACTTGGTTAGACAGCACGCATGACTGGCTACCAATATAGAAGGGTACAACCTTTTCAGGAGGGACAGGCTTGGGAGAAGGGGGGGGGGATGGAGTACAAAAAAATGAAAAAAAGGCCTCAGTCATGAAGGGGTTAAAGGCAATGCAGGCCATGGCTGAAGCAGAGCTAGAAGTCCTTCAGAAAGAAAGGGAGAAAGTGGCAGCTATGGCTAAGCTAAGGGTTTATGAACAAGCTGTTGCTGAGAGTGAACTAGATTATGTCAGCTTTGCAAATACTTAAAGTGACATTAAACCCTCACATTTTTTAACATAAACCAATACTGTAATGTGTGCCTTACTGTAATCCATGGTAGTTTCCCTTCTCTTTGCTGCTCTTCCTTTTAAATCTGTATCTCTTCTCATGCTTGGGGAGAACTTCCCTTTGCTGCTGTGTGCCTCTTCCTGTAGTGCTGGCTCAGGTTGTGAACCTATACACAGACACCATGTATCCATTTCAGAGACAAGGCAGTCTGCTGCAAAACAGAAGTTCTGCCAAGCATGACAAGAGATACAGATTTAAAAGGAAGGGCAGCAAAGAGAAGGGAAACAACCATGGATTACAGTAAGGCACACATTACAGTATTGTTTTATGTTAAAAAATCTGAGGGTTTAATGTCACTTTAAGGATTATGTCTTAAGCAAGAGCAGCAGATTCTCAGTTAATTCTGATGGTCCTGACCACACGGACATTCCTTCAGAGCGTCAGCCTCTTAAACTACTGTGATTACAAACGTATGTGATGAATCTGTTACCTTCTCTACCTATCAAGCAGAATCCTTTCGCTATTCCAGACCATCTGAGCCGAATGCTACACAGAGACAAACTGCCAACTCTATATAGTGGGAATAGCTGAAACTTGGTTAGACAGCACGCATGATTTTCAAAAAATGCACTAGGTCTTATTTTCGGGGTAGGTCTTTTTTTTAATGTACAACAATTCACACTTATTACTGGTGGAAGATTTACAAGACAGGAGTGAGTGTCAAAGTTAAGAATATGGTGATCAGGGGTGCCGTACCTTTCCAAGAGCAATTTGGTAACCAATCACTGGCCAGAATGAGTGAAGCGCCCTTTCACTATTGATTCCTCACAGGCGGAGTGCATTTGGTATCACTCCGCCTGTGACAGGAGACAGCGCTATAGAGGAAGCATCTGCTTATGCGGCTTTGCTCCCTCCGCTGCCGCCTTGCTTCCTCTAGCGCTGGCTTTGTTGGCACCGCTGATTCTCTCCCGCGGCTCTCCAAATTCCCCCTTATGCCACCACCGGCCCAGGGATCGGTCACAACTAGGTCTTATTTTCGGGCTAGGTCTTATATTTTAGCAATTCCCAAAAATAGTACTAGGTCTTATTTTCGGGGTAGATCTTATTTTCGGGGAAACAGGGTATGTTAAAAATAATGTAAATATGCACATACGGGACGATACCACGGCAGTGGGTGGCGACGAAGTGGAATCCTTGTGGCTAGAACTAGATAGG